AAATGAACGGACAGAACTTTCGGCGCGACCTAATATAAAGATTTCTGGTAATTTTTCAAATGTGTACACCAACACAAGATTCTGATCATAATAATGAATAGCACCTTGCAAGAGCATCGGCGTGATTCCTGCCAACTCCACCGCATCGCTGCATCACCTGGCCCACATAAGACGCTCCATCGTTCTAAAAGCGCTCATTATTATTATTATTATTATCACTCAATATTCATATGATATGCTACTCCCATCACTGGGTTAGTCCGAAATCAAGGAAGATCATTTATTTGGCAAATGTCAATTCGAAACAAGAGGAAAGACACACCTTCACTTGTTGATCAGTGATCGACTCAAAATCAACAATAGTAGCTCCGATAACAGCCTGCATGAATTGTCTTAAGAATCACGACATTATTTAGAACTACAAACACTCTTGAGAACAGTACTAAACAATTTTTGGGCGTTGTCTCGGTGCCTTATTGTTTTCCGATGTAGATTTCACTTTGATTTGACCGCTGTTCTTCCTCGACTTTGCCAATATGCTCGCCAGCTGAGCCGCAATTTTTGCATTGTTTTTTAGAAGCGCAATATCTGGACAAAGAAGAGTATGCAGATTCAATCCGAGTAAGTGCTTACTTGTCTTCATCGATGCCCCAGACGTCAGTTGATTGACATATGCAAGTATGAACGGAGTGACATCCTTGGACTGAATGCCTTTCTCACTAGAAATGAAAAATTCGCAATGAAGATCACTACCAAGAAAGTTACCTAGCTTCCTTCAAAGCCTTTTGCACAGCTTCTTCGATAACATTTCCGTTCGCCTGGAACTCACTGGGAATTGGACATGCAAGGAGTGTCCCAGCAGATAGTCCGAACGCCTTTGAAGTCTCTTAGAAATATCTCGCCTCGATTGGGCACCGTCTACCAAGCTAAAGCATACCTATAATTTGTGCTACTTCTTCCAGGTCCATGGTGTTGAACTGCCCTTTTCTCGTCGTCTCCTGTGTGAAAAACCCGGGAAATACGTTGCGTGGCCCATACACGATACAGTTCACGGAATGAGTCTCCTAAATATGGTGTAACAGTGAAACAACTTGCAGGAAGTATTGTGATCTTACCAGAAATTCTATTGTCTTTGGAATATCCAAGATGCTTTTGACACCCGCACAAACCACTGTGACCGGAGTTTTCGATAGTTCAATGAGATCGGCAGATATGTCAAAGGCTAAATGAAGTGCATCTATGGATTGATGGAATTAAATGTCTGATATAAATCTTGGAATGAACTAGTTGTAAACCAGGTGATGTTCAGCTTCGAATACCGGAGAAATAAAGTTTTCCTAGTTATGACATTTTATGAGAAATTTCATCTTCCTCTTGAAAAACTGCAGACTTTTTAAATGTTGGATGGAAAGACGAAGGATGTTGAATCTGGCAGTTTCAAAAACAAACTACAAACTTTCGACATCGCCGACAGCCAAACATAGAATACCAGGTTCAAGAAGTTTTTCGCTTGGGAGCATTTGGACGGCGGTGTTATTATACCACAAGGTGGTCATTATTGCCTGCATTAGTGCTACTCATGAAACTCAAATGTTGTCTTAGAATGCCTTCATTCGTATCGGACGAGTATATGTTACATAGGAAAGTTATTTATGGAATTATACTTATCTCAACATGCTTTTACGCTACACTGCTATAGGTGGCATCTTGTGAATATGTGAAGAAAATTATCATGAAAAAACACAATTAAAGTGAGTGCAATTTTTGTAGAGTCAACATTCTTCAAGATGAGACGAACACCACAAAAATTTGAGCGACCGTCATTTTAAGAGAACCTGAAAGTGGAAGTGCGGAAGTCGCGCGTGGTAAGCGCCCTAGTATACGCCCTCCTGCTGGAGCCCTGTGTTAAAATCGTAAAATCTCACTTTGCTCAGCCCCTCTATGTACACCACCAACTCCACCAGTAGCAAATACTTCGATGCCGGCCATATGTGCTAGGTACATCGTTGCAGCCACCGTTGTGCCTCCAACAACTCCCTTAAACATCAATCTAAATGTAAATAGCTGCTAACAAAAAACCTACTTTGTTGAGTGCAAAGGGGATATCCCGACGAGAGACCTTAATAGACTCCATGCTATCGGCAACGCGGGACAGTTCTGCATTGGTGAGCCCCACGTGTACGTTTCCATCCAGAAGAGCAATCGTAGCCGGCTCACAGCCACCGCTTCGAACCACCTCTTCTAGCGACTTCGCGGTCCTATGAAGGAAGTAAGTTGAAGTAAAGTAGTAGAAGTCATCTTTTCGGTAGGTACTTTCAATATTCACCCTGGTTGAAGTCGAATTTGACATACAATTGGCAGCATGTAGTCACCTAACAAAATTCGAGGATAAAAACGCGCTACTCCGGCTCTCACCAATTTCATTCTATTATTCAGTGCTGTCTCGAAATCCGGACAAAGTGCTCTAGCGCACTAACTGTTCGAAGTTACCCTTTGCTGAGCTGAACGTGGTTTGATAGAAAACTGACCAGAATATTTACGATTTGCACTTCATATTTGACAGTTTTTGACCTCTAACATTTACGTTTTGAATTTACTTCGTTTATGTTTGGATCTATTACGAAGTAACAGTACTGAACAATCCATGCAAGTATTTGGCATTAGCAATTTGGCCTCTGGTAAACCACCAATGCTTCATGTGTACCTGTAAGAAAAAATTGCCCCCTTTTACTTACTTCCGAAAATTCTTTGAGTTTTACTCTATTTGCTAAGAAAAACAGCAAAACTTTTTGGGTCTGCTTCTACATTCAGCGGTCCAGCGTAGCCCGATCAAACCTTGTCGACTTTGTTCAACTTCTACCTTTTCATAGAAAATAAATCTAAATTTGGGGTCATATGGTGATAGTGGGCCTCCCACCAGAAAAAAAGGGCATTTTCTGAAGTCTTGATCTACGTTACCCCTGAGCCTGCATAGCCCAGAATTTCTGTAAAAATTTACAACTGTGAATTACTTTGTGGACTCATGTAGACGAAGCACTTACTCAAGATTTTGTGGATACGGTAGTCCATGAGTAATGACCGTGCTTTCAAGAGCGACAACTCCTTTCTTCGCAGCCAAAGCTGCTTTGACATTAGGTGAGATTATAAAGTTTCTAGGCAGAGAGTGCAATCGGCGACAGATAAGAGATAGCTGAACAGGCCTTTTGAACTGCAATAGATTCGATTGTTTTGACTCACCTTATACATACCAAATAGCCAGATGGGTACTATGTAGGTAGATTAATTGTAAGGAATGAGTAGCGGTAGTTGTGGTGAGAGTAAAAGGCTAAAAAAGCGCAATAATATGCATTCCTGCTTCCTTGATATGGGGCCAAAGAACAAACGCTCCCCTTCCATGCCATATCGACGACCTTCGCTATCAAATTGTGATATCGTCGATATACTGACCAGATAGGCGTGTACATACTTGAACTATAGAATTCGAAGTAGATTCGTATTTAACTCAAGAATCTACTTATCTTTTTGATCTTATTCGATGAGAAAACCGACATTAATGTGGTCAAAAAGCAATCAATATATCGGAAGAACTATAAGACTCTGTTTGCGTCACATCCATTGTTTCTCGAAGAGCATACCCCACTCGAGCAAAAATTTTCGGTCTGGGTATTTATAACCTGTTTTCCTTGAGTTATGATACCTCTTGTAATTGATTGAGTATTGTTTACGGAGCCATTAAGAGTCCGCTGCTTACTTTTACGCCCTTGTACATATTTCTGTGTTTAGATAACTGATCTACCGCACTTTTTTCCTCTATCACCTAAACCTTACACTTGTGAATGAAATCTCATATGACTGTACAAATATTATTGAGTGGCTCCGCATATTACTGAAAAGAATAAAATAATCACAAAGCTTACAGTGTAATAAAACTCTAGAAATGAGCTCATAGATTGCACTTCACAAATATAGAATATGCCATGTAATAATTCTGGATCCAGTTACTATAATAGTAAGGAAACAGCACTCCGTTCAAAGCCAAATGGTGGTGTCGCGTCACTGGGTGCAGAGTTTTATCTTTACTTCCATGATAGCTTGAGTTCCTGAATCTAGAGCACACTACTTACCCACTGAATAGTCTATAGGGTTTATAGGGTCATAGGGTTTATGTGTTTCTTTGTTACATCCTGCATTCTCGCGATGCCGTAGCAGCACAATTTGCGGTATTTTGCTCCGTTGGTATTTCTAAACCCGTAAAGCACTGTAGTGAATTATGAAGAAGCTGAAGTCGCCCCTCTTGATGGCATCTCGCCATAGGTGCCGTTGGAGCCTTGTGCATCTCCCGCCAAAGGCTCAAATTATCGTTGTTTACGCGCAGTTGCTGTCGGCAACTCAGGAACACTACATTGTGCGTCACACGAATCAGCAAACAATACGCTCACAATCTGTCGCAATCGTGGTGGCTTCCCCGTTCTCCTTGCGACCTCATGCAAGCATTTACCAGGCTTTTGATACAACTCGTATGATAGCTGGATTCGAACACACTATCTCAAAAAAACGTTTTGTTAAATAAACGATAGTCTTATTTAGAGAATATCTAGATGTTCCAACAGATTGCCGCCTTATTTTATCTTACGGAGCTCCCAAATATCGAAAGAGATTACTGATAGGACACATGCCCTTCACTTTAAGCAAAACTGAATCTACAGCAAGGACTTCGAAGAGAGGAAGTGATTACGTCGAATTCGTGGACCTCTCAGCTCAAATTGTTTCCAGTGAACGGGCAGAAATAATGGCGAACTCCTCAGACATCAGGATTACATTCGCTTGTTTCACATAAATCCAAATCGTTGGGCCATACAAATTTCGCGTTCGCACCTCTTGTCCGCAGTATAAGAGACAATTTATACGGTGCGGATGCCAAAAGTCATGATAGGCTAGCCAGATGCCATCATGAAAACTAGCGAGAGCCCCGGCTATCCATAAATGAGAGTAACTTACGATGGATCACTGCAGAGAAATGCTAGCAAATAATCAATACATTAAGGTTAAGAGTCCTGCAAACTAAACGCGAGTTCTCAAATCGCACTTCCAATTTCTGAGTTTTGCAAATATCAATCATCGCGTTTTGGTTAGTCCATTCACTTTGTTCAATATATTCTAATGTTTCTCCATATCCACCTTCCTTTGCTGATTTCAACTACTTCTTGTGCGACGGCAAATTCATGGTAGCTTCAAAATAGTATCATGTCCAACAGCCACGGAAACGAAAATTCTGGAAATGCTGTGCAACCTATGCCAATTTGAATAATGCATGGGTGGATCAAGAAGTACTTTTTTCGCAAGTTAAAATACTGAAAGCTAGCTGAAATTACTTTGATAAAAATGGCAGTGTTGGGTCTCTTGAGTGCAACTACTTTACTGAGAACACTAAAGGAATATTCAATCATCAACATTTATAATCGTCCACAATCCCATGCTGATTGAAGGTGATGAGAAGAAATTGGGGAGCTGATGTTTGCTCTTTTTATTTGCCAGCGGCTTTCACCACATTGAAGCAGTCGTTATGGATGAGCCATTCACCGTCAACCTGAAAAGACGACATTTTCCAGAAGCACAAGTCTCTATTTTTCGCCATGACGGGG